CTTTCCCTCTGCCGATCTCATCGAGCTCATAGATCGTCGGGTTCACCCCGAAATCGTAGAAGAGGGTCTTGATGGTGTGGGACATGCAACATGAGTTCTTGCTGAAGATCACAACCGGTTTTTCGGATACCATCTTTTGCAGCTTCTCCATTGAAAAAAATTGCGAGTTTCGGAAGTTTTTACGATATGGGTTTTAGGGTTTGGTTAGTGGTTTATACGATAGAAGTGGATTTGAAAATGTGAAAATGTGGAATTATTGTGTTTGAGATGCGAGAAATATATATATATATATATATATATGAGAAGTAGATGAATATTTTGGGAAATTGATGTAATGTCTTTGTATTGATGAGAAGAAGTGACTTTGAGTTGTTGGTTTGATACGTTCGACCGTCCATATATATATATATATATAGGTAGGAGGGTATTGATGATCATGCAGATTCTCGTTTTCTTTTTTTTCCTTTGGTGAAATGCATGCAAATATATATTAATAATAACAAATTAATATAAATGCAGATTCTCTATGTTGACGTGGAATTTGTTTTTGTTGCTTTTTTGGTCCAGTGAATTTCTGATTACGTGTTTAGTTTTTACGCGTCACAAGTTCATGCCATTTACATCTCGCGTAACTGTACATATAGTTTTATCTTTTAAGGGGAATAAAATCGAAATTTAAATTGAGAAAAAAAAACACATTCGAATTATAAGAAGATAGTGGGGAATATTGTAAATTCGGGGTTATGGTCGGTTCACACCCTCTTGCTGAAGGATCAAATTTATCAAAACCCCATTGAAAAGGACCAAACAGTATAGTTTTTATCAATTAAAATAATGCAAAAAAAAAAACAAATCTTAGCTGTGTCGAATATATGATACGGACGAATCATGTCATGTCCCTATGGTGTACGGCTTTAATATTTCAACCCTTTTTGAGTTGTACACAAAATAAGAAAGCGCAATCTTTCATGTTATCTGTATATATTATATCAACTTTATCCTGTCGAAATTATTTAATTTTTATTGTCATTTTCCTCTTATTCAAAGATATCAACTTTATTTATGATCATCAAAAAGTCCACGAGTCGTAATTAGAATATCGACGTATATATAGGCGGATAGCAAACGGGTTTTTGGAATAATAAATGTTTAATGATGTTTAAACTATTATATACAAAGTTGGTATTTAAACAAACAACTGCAAATAAGATAGTTTCCATCAATGTATGTATGTATGTATGTATGTATGTATGTATGTATGTATGTAGGTATGTATGTATGTATGTATGTATGTATGTATGTAAAAGTGGCCTCTTTGTTTTCATTTGTCCTTTAGTTTGTGCGAGGACTCGAAATCGTATGTTGTCTCTAGAATAATCTTGTGTGACCATTTGAGGAGAATCAAAATAATAATAATAATAATAATAATAATAATAATAATAATAATAATAATAATAATAATAATAATAATACAAAGCAGCTTCTGTTCCGTTAACCTTATCGTCATGAGATCGAATCTTTTGCGGCGATATTGCAATGTCAGAATCATACAATCAAAAAATAACTTTCCTTTTTTCCTCATTATTCCGAATCGATGAAATTATTATTATTATTATTATTATTATTATTGTTATTATTTTATTTATTTATTTTTACTATTTTATTTAATTTGCATGGCCGAAATGTAGGATTTAAGGTACGTGAAGAAGCCACGTGACCAACACATTACAACAAGGAAAAAACGGTGGCCCAACCTTCATCCGAAGGGTCGTTATTCTATCACAATGTTATCATTTAACCGTACATGTTTTACGTACCGAACCATATGCATGCCTATAGACATCAATCACATCTATATCCGCAATTATATACATATACATATATATATATATATCCTATATGTACGAGTCGATCCTATATGATCCCATGCACGTATATATCATTTTGAGCTTTTATTATTATTATTTTGTATTATATGCGATAATAGTGTGAGCACAGTGTTATGATATGTTAGGATCCGAAGATAGATCTTGGACGTTTACAAGAAAATATGACTTGGATCATGAATTTGACAAGGTTGGTAACATACTATATAAATTAAGTCACTGTTATCACATTATGAGTATACAAGAATATGTTAAGATTGGATGTGGAATAATTAAATTATTGGTAGGTGAAAACCTAGCTACATGTATAAAAAAATGGAACTTAAAAAATCTGTTGCGTTTTTCTCCGGTTTGTAGCAAAACCTGATTGAAACCCGAGTTAAACGAGTTTTTTCCTTTCAAACCCGGTTCAATTTTCCAACCGATATTCCAAGTATACAAATCCAATAAATCTCATCAAGCCCCTAGTCTCAGCCTCTTGTCCCGTTTTTTCCCCTTTTCTTTTGTGCCCTTTGGCCAGATTCTGAGTGACTTCACAACGCAATTGATGTATACAAGAAATGAAATGAAATGAAATATGGTCCTGCATCTTTCACTTTATTATATTCGAGAACGTTCCATAATTCAATTCCCATAAGTTTCTTGATCCTAAACAAGAGATGTTTCCATGGAATAACAATCAATCCTCGACTAAGGCTCTTTGTGCTAAGGAAGCTTACGATATCCGGGGACCAGGATCGGGTACTCAACATATAGATACCATTCAGTAAACGTAGATCACTTGTTCTATGCCTTTAGAAAAAAGTAATTCATTCTCAACTCTTCGCCATTCGGAAGGGACAGTTTGGGTCGGGAAATGAATCTCGAAACGTCCTGAAACTCAGTCCCCCTTGGGCTGATTCGGGTCCATTGCTTCGAGTGTTCTCTTGAAAATCATGAAACTCGGACGTGTGTGCGTGTATATATATATATACGCTCACGAAAGAATATATATAACTTGTTTGATAAGCGAGGTTGGGGCAAGAGGCCTTTACATTATCATATGAAAGATGTTAGATTTCTTTTAGCCCATGATGCTATCTTGTAATGAAAATGATAGATTTAGCCCAAAATCAAAATTAGGTCAAATCCGGTCAATGTATGCTCATTGTTGTTCTCATGCGCTATTGTAAACGTGGTCTTGATTACTTTGATTAAGATTGAATGATCATTAGAGCATATATCTTTTATTCATGTATTCTAATTTCTTCACCTAGAAAAGAGCTAATATATATATATATATATATCACTACAAATCAAGTTTAAACAAAGTGATGAAGACACTTCCAAAAGGTCAAGCACTTTGACTTCTCATAATATATATATATATATATATATATACACACACACCCCCCTATTTAACTTGAAAAAAAAGTAAAGTGGTCGGTAAGAGGGTGATCAATACGCCGACTCTTCGGATAATGATGGAACAAAAAAACAAAAACGCGTACGTACGGACAATCAAGTGGCGACAAGACCATTGTACGATGGACATAAATATCATCATATAATATGCGATATAAAGTGGTGATTAATTTATATCAAGAGACTATATTGTAGAGTCTTCAAGAAGAGAGGGGGGAGGGCGTGACAAGTAGCCAAAAGAATCGGTCCACATTCCACACGGCAGTAAGAGATTCTCTCGCTCTCAATTCCGAGCACAATATTCAGAACGTGTATTTTATATTAATACGTGTCAATGTTACGTATAAAACCATCAAAGGCAACGTTTTAAATGATACTATATATACAAGATCATATATAGAGTTAATCGGATTCGATTTACGTATAATACACCAACAACTGCTGTATATATGCATACGTAGATATGCAATATACGTTATACATGTTATATATATACATATATGTATATGCAAATGTGTGTGTATATGAGCCATAGATTACGAAGCTAGTGGAGGAAATAGGGGACCTCGAGAACGTGGACATATGCTTTCTCTTTTGGCGACAGTTTCATTTTCTTGCATAAATAATATATTCCTCCAAGCTGGCATATGTATATGGTGCTCTGCTCACTATTCACAATCTCAAACATGGATATATTCTCTCTCTCTCTCTCTCTCTCTCTCTCTCTCTCTCTCTCTCTCTCTCTCTCTGTAAAAGTATTCTCGATCTCTTTCCTTCACTTATTTCTTTAAAATTGTGAAGTTGTCAATGAAATTAAATCTTATACCGATTGATTTGACAGGAAATGTACCCATTTTACCCAATCGTAAACATTACAACTTTAATCAATACATCCCTCATTTTTTAGATTTGCTTTTGGTTTTCTTACATTCAAAACTTGTGAAATGTAAAACAAAAACATCATGCAATAAATAATTTACAAGAACAATTTTGACATCGAAGCCTTGACTGCAAGAAAACAGGTTGTGTTTTACACACAGATATATAATTAAAAATCGTTCATAATAATACTCAAACTCTCACATACGTTATTACAAAACCCATGCAGCTCTATAAGTTTGGAACATAGATAGTTCCAAGATCTCTCGATCCAAATCTTGCCTCTCATAGGATGATGACTAGAACCTGTCGCTTGGCGATGGCGAGAAGCCGTACGTACAAAAAGGGTACATGACCTCAATTCGTCATCCGTATATGAAGAATATATTTACAAAGTTATTCCTCTTTTAGATTTCTTTCGCTTAATTCCTTTCATACGTGAAAAATAAAATTCCTCTATTTATTTTCCACATGTTTGTATCGAATATGTACGTAACGTTTCTCTCGAACCCACAAACAATATCTTCGGATCCTTCCTTCCTTTGTATTTTCAAGAGAAATGTGTATGATCCAAAATGTGAATGCATTAGCATTATATAAGTTGATCTCTAATCAAAACCAATATTCAGACCGTTATCAAAATTTCATATTTCTCTCAATTTATATCAAACTACTATAATATTATGTGGTATCAGTAACAAAATTCTCCATTTAGATATGATATTTTCTTCCCTTTTTTTCGTTCTTTAATTTGAATGATTCTTCCATGTATTTCTTTTGTCAGTTTCTGATCATATCTTACAAAAAAAATATTCACATTCTTCGTTATCCACTAGCAATAATCTATTGAACTTATCACAAGATCTTAGGCCCTCAAAATCTCCCTGAAAAACCTATAAATAGAATTCCCGACCAAGCAACCTTAACCACAACATCAAATTAATCACCAAAGATCTCAAGCTTCTTCCTTAGCCATACCCTAAAATTCCCGATTAATAATCTTCGAGATCGTTCTTGTAAAATGGAGGCGGTGACGAAATTCGTGTCGGAGAAACCTGTGGTGATATTCAGCAAGAGCTCGTGTTGCATGTCGCACACGATCAAGACACTGTTCCACGACTTTGGTGTGAACGCAACGGTTCACGAGCTCGATGAAATGGCGAGAGGGCGAGAAGTGGAGCAAGCCTTGGCCATTCTCGGCTGCAGTCCCACCGTGCCGGCCGTCTTCATCGGCGGTCAGCTCGTGGGCGGAGCCAATCAAGTCATGAGCCTTCACCTTAGCCGCTCTCTCATCCCTATGCTCAAGAACGCCGGTGCATTGTGGGTTTAATATTTAACTAAAGCTAACATTCACTATAAGTATAATATATGCATGTGTATATATATATATATATATATATATATATATATATAACATGATCACATATACGTGTATACATGTATATGTGTGTGTGTATGCATTTGTCGAGCTATGTGGGTAACCCTATGTAAGCTGCCTTCATGTGTAAGTTCACTTTTCCGAGCAACACACTAACGTGAGGTTTGGTTCGTTGTGTGTTTACTACTAATGGGTAATGTTAAATCTTAATTTAAGCTACTACTACTGTTCTGTCGGTAAAAATGTCCATTCAAATATTTTCACCTAAATATATTATGGTTTCAAATATATTGCAATTTTCAACTTGGAAAATATAATTCTATGATTTGCATATATAAAGTTGATAAATCAAATATGTTCTGCAAGCTTTGAGGGGAAGAAGAAACAGATATAAAACTTGAAACAGAAAAAACATAAACATTGAAATCTTCACTCTTTAACGCTTTCTTTCAGCCCTCCATTTGTAAACTGGTTTAGATGTTGGATTCACCATCTCGTCTTCTCTAAGCTTGCGTTTCCGGCCTTTTTTCTATGTATTCAATCGAATACAGTTCAGATAGAAAGCTTTGTGTGTGTAAATATGCAATGAAATAATACAACTATATGATATATATATATATATATACATATACCTGTAGCTCCTTCTGCATACTCATCTGCACGTATAACTTCTCCAGTTCCTCTGCTCTGCTTTTACGTGCCTCAAGTTCTTTGTAGGATCCCTCTATCTTCCTGCAGATTTTTTCATAGAAGTTTACAACATCGATCATTCACTCATCTTAGTCTTCTGTTTACTGATTTTCATTGGAATATGAGACAATTACCTTTTGATATGTTTCGGAGTGTTATCCTCGGAACCGCCCGGGTTTTTCTTTTTGGCAAGTTGTAATTCTATTTCTTTGGCCTCCTCCCTTCAAAGCAGCAATAGTTATACAATTCACAGCACATCACAACGTAAGGGATGCTGGTTTAAATTTGCATGAAATGCATATTTTTTTGTCACACAAGAGATGCCTGCAACATAATTGCATGGGATGACAATGGCAAGTCCTACCATGACTTGCATCTGATCTAACCATCCATGTGAAATATGAAAAAATAATTCTTAGGGCGGCGAGAAATTTGGAAAATATTGTACTAAAGAAAATGATTAAAGGTCAGTGGATCCAAACCTGTCTTCTGCAAAGTAAACATGCTTGTTGCCACCCACCGGATTGTCAAGACAGTGTAGAGTGGCGGTAAGTTTCTCGATTTTCTACAGAGAGGAGAAAGGAGTGAAAATTTAAGAGAAAGAAACAAATCATAGGAAAGAGGAGGCATTTGCAAAGTTTGACTAAACCTTTTTCTCGCTTTGCAGCTTTTGGAGAACATATCCAATATCTTGCGTCTTCATTAGCATAAGCTCTTCTGAGGTGTATTTGTTCCCCTCATCCCTAAAAAAAATGAGCTCATAAGAATTACAAATAAGATAAACAATCAGATTCATAAATTGCGAAACAATATCAGCAAAGAATTCAGAAGACTACTTTGGTTTATGAACTCCATCAACTGTCTTTGACCTAATCATCTTAAAATTAAATTCATCTGGATTCTTGAACGCTGCCTTCTCCCTGAGTTTCTGCGGAAAAACAAGAGAGACTAAACGAATTGAGAGAATACACTAGGAAACATTACGATCGGATACATAAAACAACCTCAGGTTCAAACATTGATTTGCCACTTGTTAGTCAAGGTGCATTCCATAATTTGGATTTTACAACATTCTGCAGCCTTCCCACAGAAATCAAACTCTCCCTCAACTATCAGTATCAAAGAAGAAGGCATGGAAGACACCAAACTGTATTAAAATAATTACACAGAGCAATCATTATTCCATAAACATATTAGTTTAAGGACAGTTAGTCTCTTCAAAGAGTTCTATTGAGAAATTTATTCCATCTGGACTTGATTTCGAGGAGGGGACATAAAAAGGAACCTGTAAAGCCTCCTGTTTCTTGTGGTAGGCATCTGCACGGACTTTGTAATCCTTATGTTTCTCGAGAAGGCCATATTTCTTCCTTGCTTGCCTGAAAGGTATAGTAAGCCCAAAAAAAATCTTAAGAAGAGAATCAGAAAGATACAAAGAAGGAAAAGAAGAAGAAGAAGACCAATAACATACGGTTGAGCTCGCTCCTTATGAGCCGGTCGTGGAAGAGCATTCCTCAACGAAGACATGTTTGACGGTGGTTGTCAAAGCACCAAAAATTGTCTGCACTGAAAATTCAACTCCTTTTAATTAGTCTAATCAACAAAACTGCAGCACCGGCTCAATATAAACATGAAATGCATAGAAATCAAATATGGTGCCATTACAAATTGCTCTCAGAGGATAATAAATCTTGAAAATAATAAAGATTGTTTTGAGCAATTAACCAAAGGTAACACCGGTTTGACATCATTTGGATTCCAAAGTAAAGCACCAGTTTCTAGCAGGAAATTTGTTTATTCACCAAACTAGTTCTTTTGTCATACCTCTACTTTACAGGAATCATCGATAGTACATAATTCGTAAGGAGCAGTTTCGTCACACACCCCTAGATCGTTCCTGGGTAACAATGTTATATGCCTTCTAGACCAAACTAAACTAAGACATATATAGAAAGAAAAGCTATCCACATGCAACTCACGTACAGGACATACTTGATACTTAAAGCAGAATGGATACAGGAATATTCTCTTAGATATGCAACATGATGAGGAAAACAAGTCTATGGAACTTTCAAGATTTTTCTGCAATCTTAAGTCTTTTGGTAAACCTCTAAATCTGAGCCAAGTTGAAACACACAGCACAGAACTTCCGATGCATTTAAGGGGGCAAATTTACAATGGCAAAGAGAAATAACTGAAGCAAAAGAAACAGGGCCCTGTCCGGTAAAATGCGATGAAGACAATGAGATTACCCAAAATCCAAAGTTCTCCCCCCACTAAAATTCTGTACAAAACAAGATCCTTTCCTTCCAAAGCTACAATGTTAGAATGCCATGAGAGTCTACAATCTGAGAAAACATAAAATCAAATCTTTCAGGGAGATATAACTTCAAATTATCCTAAGTTTCGGATATTCAACAATGACACCCACAAATTGTCATCGACCAATACATAGATTTTAACCCAAAAATCAACAAGCAAGATGAACGAATTTACTCAAAATTCAGACACCCGGATCGCATCGTTACCCCAGTCAATCGACGCAGAACGAGCACGAAGAAAGCTCAGGAAATCGCCCATTAACAGGGGAATTAGAGAGACAGACGGAGATTCCAAGTTGGAGACTTACCGGAAGATTTACAAGAGAAGACGGAATCGCAAAGCTCGGGCCGATTCAGTGAAAGGGTTTAGGGTTTAGTTGATTCGTCCTCTGCTTTCCTTTTATTTATTTGGTCTTTTCCTATTCAGTTTAGGTTACGAGCGTAATTACACTACTATCCTTGTCTACGACGTCGTACTTACCGTTTTTTTAAGTAACTTTTTTAATTACACAAAAGCTCCTTAAGTATTTTCTGTATTTCGTTTCAAGCATGACAATAATAAAATTAACATTTGAACCCATTTTTATTATGTTTTTATGTAAATGATTTTGAATTCAGTTATACAAAGAGATTTAAACACTCTCCTAAACCTAAAAGGAGTTTTCCAATGACAAATGTCAATAGATTCAAGGGATAACTAAATGGAAAAACTAATTTCTTTTAATTGAGTTTATTTGTACAACAATTTCCTCTTAAAATTTATTCTGATCTCAAGAATTCAAGTATATCATTTTGGTTCTATAAAATCGAATCAAAATGAAATGAATGAATATGTTTGTAGGCAGATCATATGTAAAAACTCATTGGATGTATTTTCTTTAGAAAATTATTCGGATATGAACTAAATATTAATATAGTTTAAAAAATTAATGAAACGAAAATCTTTGTAGAAAATGAATATTGTTCTTAATTTTAAAAAATGAATGCAAATTCAGGTAAATTTATCATAATATAATGTACGGCGTGCAGATTAGAAAAGAGATAGTTGATTATTCCATACTATTTTTGAGAATTACATATTACTAAATATTTGTTGCAATTAGGAGAAAATACATAGGAAATATTTTGTTTAATCACATATCCTGTTTGATAAATGGGTCTTCAAGCCGTCTCAGCCTCTTTTGTTGTTGTTGTTTCATTCTGTTTCTCCTACACCATCATAATTAATTTTTAAAAAAAAAAAGAGTAAGAGAAAAAAAATAATAATGTCATGAAATGATATTTAAAATTACATTATCTGAAATAATTAAGGGCTAATTCTATTTTTTTTAATTTGAAATAATTTCCATAAGCTAATATACTATTTTCTTTTAAATAAAGGCTAAAGTACCTCTGTAACATCAGTTTTGGTCTGATAATTTGAAGCTAATGTAATTTTGAAATAATTTCCATAAGCTAATGTAATTTTTTTTTAAATATCAAAACTTATATTTGAAATAATTTCCATGGCTAATATTTTTTTAAAAAAAAAAAGGGGGGCTAAAGTACCTCTGTAACTTCTGTTTTGTCCTGATCATCTGAAGCTAGGGTTTCGCTGTTACTTGCAACAGAAGTTTCTTCCGCTACTACTTCTGTTGTGACTGAGGTTTCTTCAGCTTCTACTTCAGATGTTACAGGGATTGTTTCGACGTTATTAGATTCAACAGCAGGAGGCGAAATCTCTGCGTTATCTTCCTTTTTATCAATAGTTTCTTCAGGTGTTTCAATATCTGTTTTCTCTATTAGAAAAAAATATATATAATTAAAAAATATATATTATCTACATGAATCAAGATTATTATGATTTGGAATAGACCTAACAATAATAATAATCAACTATATAAACCAATATATATATATATATATATATGTATACCTTTTTGCTCTTCCACGGCCTCAGCATTCTCGTTCTTCTTCTCTACCATTTTCTCTTGCTCGTCTGGTTTCTTGACGTCAATCTCTTTGCTTGCGTCCGCCTCACGTGATTCTGTCTTCTCCGAGCCATCTGGTTTGCTCGGATTGTCGTTGTTGCTGCTGTCTTTATTATCCGTCGTCGTTTCAGACCGATCGTCTGTGTTCTTCGTTTCCCGACAGCTTTCTTGTTGCTTCATCGTGATGATCTCGTCCTCTTTGCCTTTGTTAGATTCGGCTTCCGAAGATCTTTTGAGGGCCGTCGTGTTCCCCGTGACCACATCGTGTTTCGATTTCCCGCAACCCATCGATCGAATTCTTTGATATTTCCTCTTAGTTTTCTCTCTTTCTCGTCGATTATTCTTTGATTCCTGAAGGATGAATGAATGGGATGTGGAAGAGATGAAAATCATGGACGCATATTTATCGAAGAGAAATGAAAGAAAACAAGAAACCGATTAGAGCTGTATTACAGTTGTTTCGGATATTTTTGGTATGAACACAATAACGAGTTTTCTTAATTTATTCAGTGCTTTCATTATTAATAGAATAGAGGAGTTATGTTTAGTTAGACGCATACGAAGCCTCCTAAAAATATATACTTGGCAAAGAATACACAACAAAGAATTTATATATTTATATGGTTTCCCCCTAAGTATTTGTTGTAATAAAATCAACAAGAACCTAAATTAGAATAATATCTTCTTTTTTATTTTTGATAATACGGAAGTTTACTAGACTTTTGTATCAACTACATTGTATAGAGGATCGGAGAAGTACGAATAAATGTACCTCTTCACGATTAGATTTGAATATGGATAATAGCATGTTTTTTTGCATATTCTCTTACGGTCATTCAAATTTGGATAACAATGTCTATTTTAGGTTTTGTTCCATTCTTCGTAAGTCGTTTCTTGTGTTTAGGATTCAAGACATTAGATAAATTAATTTGAAATGAGAATTTTGATTCTTGATCATGGGTAATGATTGTTTTTACAAAACAAATCAGACAAAAAATGGATATGTAATAAAGGATTTGGATGTAAATTAAATATTTAAAAATCCAACAGTTGATGGTCTAATGACTGAGAATGTGACAAAATCATTTTCAAGGTTTTGGGTTCGATTCCACTGGTGGGGAGGGGTGTAATTTCTTGACCAAAATAATCCATATACAAAGGTTGTTTCTAGGTCTAAGCCGTCAAAAGACATGTTCAAATAGAGTAAGGGTAAAGGCCCCACAATTTGATGGGTCCCACATTTTAAAAAAATAATTTTTAAATACTAATAATTTATAATTGTATTTATTAATATACATATGATAAATAATTAAAATTATATTTGATATAAAGTTTCATAATTATCATCATTAATATTTACAATTTTTGAGTTATATTTGTGATTTTTTAATATTAAATTTATCAATTAATATAATTAAAAAATTATTTAATATTTTTATAAAAATAAAAAAATAAAATATATGTTGTACAGGTTCTCTAAATTGTTCGGAACGACTTTGGATCTAGGGTGGATATAGTCGGACCGAAGGCTCGGGAACCATACTGATTTATCAAAAAAAAAAATTAAATACATGAAAACTTGAAAATATCTTACAATATTGGATTCAAGATTTAGATTTGCTTATGCATCTCTCTTTCAGATGCGTTACAGTGTATGAAAGATATGGACATGGGACCATACATGCACATTCATAAGAAGAAAATTTTATGGCAGAAACAGGCAAAGTAACGTTATTAGCAACGTGATGAAACCACAATATAGCAAATTCCCAAAGCGCCTAATGAGAATTAGGAAACCCTCATAGCGTCAAACACGACAAGAACCATAAACACGACAGAGGCAAGGAGAGAGATGACGAGCGAAGAGGCGACAGTGTGACAGAACTTCCCGAAGACATTGCAGACTTTGTTCCACATCACGTGTTTGTTCCCTTGAAAACCCATTAGCCCGATCGCTCCGGCCGCTCCGGTGCCGGAAAAAAGCAGGGCCACCATCACGAGATCGCCGACGAGCAGCACCGCCGCCAAGGGCTTGCTCTTGCCTCTCGTGACCATGAGAATCAGCGTCGAAACGGCCACGTAGCCGCAAGCGATTGCGTTTGCTGAAATGTTGTACCTAAAAAATTCGAAACGAAGTTTGTGAAAATGAATGAACAACCCTAGGTTTTGCAATCGAAATCTAACTATAATAATTTATATAGTTTGCGAATGCAATATTTAGAGAAAAAAATTCAAAGAACACTGGCTTTATAATTTAATATCATGTACAGTATATAATAATATATCCTGTATAGTCGCTTTGCTATGCTAGTTGACCGTTTAGTTGAGTATTTATTAAAAGAAATGTAATATTGAATACTCAACAAATTATAATAATAAAAAAGGAAAATCGTATATATATAAATATCTGAATTTTTACAAAATTCTCAAATAAATACTTAAACTATAAAATTTTCAAGTAAATATCTGAATTTTTCAAAAATTCTACATAAATATCTAAACTTTTAAAAATTTTAATAAAGAAAACCAAAATCTATTAATGACGTTAAACTTATAACGGAATCTGTTGATAATGATGACTTAGTCGTCGACGAATATTGTTTCATTTAGCAAATTTATAAAATTTTTGGTATTTAGATGAAAATTTTGAAAACTTCAGATATTTATCTAAAAATTTAATAGTTCAGATATTTATTTGAAAATTTTGTAAAAATTGAGATACGATATTTTTCTAATAAAAATAAATATTTATGCGATATTGACCGTTTGGTTAGGCAGGTAGCTAGCAATTGAAATTTGATACTGAATAATAATAATAATGTATGTTGGTATATATGGGTCATCCACCATTTATGGAAAAAGTTTGATTAGTAATATGGAGCATTTATGATACAGACAAATTCAGTGGGTCAAAAGAAAGGTAGTTGTTGAACATTGATGGAAAGATTTAAGCAGTCATGTATTTTAACAAATGCATTTACTTTTAGATCCGTTGCAAGTAAATATATTAGTTTTAACAACAAAAAAAGTAAATATATTAGTTAAAATTCCATTGTTATATAAATTATAATTTGAATAATTAAGACTAATGCTCTATTAACTTGGAAGCCGTGGTTATGTGTAAGAATAGTTAAGATGTAATATTCTAGATCTCACACACACAAATAATATATATATATATATATATATATATATATATATATATTTCAAGTATATTTCGGGAAAATAATTAGGTCCTTCTTTGAGCTGTGATTTGGGCGTTTATGATTTATTACATACAATTTCCTAGCGTCATTTGTGACCCTCCTCCTCATGCGGTAGGCGTTAACAATTCATAAGCTTTTTATTCAAAAATCACAATGAAAATACAAAGTGAAAATTCTATAGTTAACTGTGCATCCAATTAACACTTTCTTTGAGACGTCTGTCTTGGTGCCTCTCTCTACTTTAAACTAACAAATTCTTAATTTCTTTACTCATACAAAATCAATATCTCAAAGCTGCACACACCAAGAGGATATAGCACATACTAAGTGATCATACACGAGAGAGAGAGAGAGAGAGAGAGAGAGAGAGAGAGAGAGAGAGAGAGAGAGAGAGAAATTAACACTTTCTTTGAGACGTCTGTCTTGGTGCCTCTCTCTACTTTAAACTAACAAATTCTTAATTTCTTTACTCATACAAAATCAATATCTCAAAGCTGCACACACCAAGAGGATATAGCACATACTAAGTGATCATACACGAGAGAGAGAGAGAGAGAGAGAGAGAGAGAGAGAGAGAGAGAGAGAGAGAGAGAGAGAGAGAGAGAGAGAGAGAGAGAGAGAGAGAGAGGGAGACTAACACAAAGGCAGACAAGTAAGTGGCTATAGCACATACTAATGCATAGCACATCCATATAACCCCGGGAGAGAGGGAGAGAGGGAGAGAGACTCACACAAAGGCAGACAAGTAAGTGGCTTTAGCAGTGGAAGAGACATCGACGGCAGGCAAAGTTGGAACAAGCTTGACAGACACAATCTTGGTCTCTTTGCCAACACCAAGAATCACTGCACTTGCCAAGTTCAGGACCAAAGCCAACAATCTCAGCACTAACTCACACCCAATTCTCCCACTCTTTTGACCGTTTGATCCTCTCTCTATCCCGTCGAAACCCTTTTCCTTGCTCTCTTGATCCATCAAGAATATGCGAAACTCTTTTTTTTTTTTTTTGGTTAAAAAAAAATCGTAGAGAGAAGATCAGACCCAAATGATAATTGGCTCGATAAACGAATTTTGAAGCTGTTTGGAGTGAGGAGAGACGTGTCTATATATACACAGAGGCATGTGTATCATAATAAATGCGATCATATCAAGGTAGGGTTTTTGTGTACATGTGTGTAGACATACACATTTAGCTCACGTAAGGAACATGGTGTGAAAGCATTCGCATACATTTTCTTTCTTGGAAATTAATAACTTTTGATTTTATTTCTTAACTTTTTAAAAAATAGGAGTTTTGAGGGGGGGGGGAAAAAAACTTACACAAATATGAAATTTAGTCATAATAAAAAGGATTTTAGCACTCGTTCAGTTTCAGTTAATACACATTATTTACATATATTTAGGCCATCTTTTTTATGAATATATATTCTTAGATGTAACGTAATAAAAATGTTTTTGGTTACGACAAAAAAAAAACATATTTCGGAAAAATAATTTTATTACCGCAACTCGGAATCCGAGGAGGAAGACTTAATGTAATAGAGATATTTGGCAGCTCTGTGGGTGGAAGACTTTGTGTGATCGGTCCATTTCGTCAGAATGGAACACTTGAATGCATGGGAGTCGACAGCTTGTACTTATACCCATCACATATTTACGAAATGTTTTTAAGAAAAAATATTAGATACCGTACATTTTATAAAAATAAAATGTAAATTATTTCAACAATATCCAACACTTGTTTAATCTCATATCCAAATGAAGATATTTCTATAGAAAAATGTGTACATGAATTGACATCTCAAAGGTGATGGATCCAAATTATATTTTTGGATTTGTACGTAAATAAATACTATTCTATTACAAAAAAAGATATTTTAAAAATCGGTAAAACATATGGCATATTTTCCAATCCTGTAACTGTTGCAGCACGACCATATAGTTATTAGATATTATGATTATTATTTTTTACAATTCATAAGATTTTAAAAAATAGTTGAATGGGTAAAATGAAACAAATAAATAATTGGATATTAATTGAAACGGCCCACTTAAAATGGCTCCTTTCGACTAATTAATTCCGTTCGGGGAACTGCCAACCTGTCCCCTCATTAACTTCTAAACAAGATACATATACACACACACACACACATATCGCTTGAGCAATTTTTTTTTGTATTAATTTTTTTTTTGATAATCACAATTAATGGATACCTAAAACATATTATCTGTATAATATATGCTTTTTGAATATAAATAAAAAGAACAAAAATAATATAAAAAAAAAATAGAGGACATCATTGACCACCAGATACAATACAATCGGATAAAACAATATCTTCATAGAAACAATTACGATAAACATGAAGATTTAGATTACGCAACATAACAACTATAACTTAATTTTTTGTATAGCTTCACTTAATTGAATACATACTCAAATATCCATTCCACATATAAATAATATGAATAATTTCATATTTTTAATTAGGTTATAATTGATTGATTGCTTGACTCTCACACACACACATATATATAAATATCTTCGGACAATTCACATTCAACCAACAACAAAAAAAAAAAAAAAAAATCTATCGGACAACCATGGAAATCACAAAAGCGGATTAGATCACATGTCCATATCTTGAAGAAGTCAAAGTTTCGAGCTTGTCTAATTGTTCTCATTAATTTATTTTTATACAAAGCTTTGTTTGTCGTTATTAGAGAAAAAAAACATCCAATAATTTTGGGTTCGCGTAACCTATTGTTCATACGTATCTCTCCCAGGGATTTGTGGATAAGATTGTATATTCATTTTCAATATTAAAAAAAATAATTGTTTTGATTGTATGCACAGAACTAAATGACATTTTACGTAAATAATAACTGTCATGATGTGTAGGAATCAAATTTAGTTTAAAATTATATGAATTAACATTTAAACGTAATCTTCATTTCTTCAATCATGCACGTGATCTTTCCATCATTGATTCTTTAGATAGATTTCAAGTTATTCGACAATTTTATTTTTTAAATTATTCATTTGAAAGTGGTGTTTTCACCTTTACGGCCATCCATTTTTGTTTGCCTCTATCTCTATCCGTCTTATGATATAGATGTTGATATCTATTTTTTTGTTCACCTTTACAAAATAACTAAACGCTATATTATTATTAGATTTTTTTTAAGCATTGATTGATGAACGATTGAATGCTAAACTTTAATTTGTATTTTAATTAATTTAATCATTTTCTTTCGAATTCTTTCACCGTATGATATTACCAGTAAAAAATGCATAATTTCTTATTGGAATAATTCATTTAAAACATTAATTAGCAGCAACAAATTCTAACGTTCTTTTACAAAAAAAAAAAAAACTAAACACTAAATATTATTAGTACACGACAATATCGACGAACAAAACAAATAATACAACATGAGACCATACCGATCGACGAACTCAATCGAATTAACGAAAATATCCTAACGTAATTTCAGCACAACCAATCACTTCAAGATACGAGAAAGAAATATATAAACACGATTTGAAAAAAAAAATTATTCAAGAATAATTAAAATTATATATATATATATATAAAGAGAGAAGGATCAACGGATTCTCTTGTAGAGGGAGACGACGGATGCGACGGAGAGGAGGACGAGAACGACGGAAGCGAACAGAGAGACGGCGATAGATCCGCCGACGTGGCGGGAGAACTTGTCGTAGATGTTACAGATTTTGCCCCATCGGACGTGTTTGTTTCCCTTCAGGCCGATGTATGCTACTCCTCCTCCTGCTCCGGTCGCCGACGCCACGATTCCCAGCATCATCTACGTACATTAATGGTCGGAAACGTTATTAGAGAATTAGTAACTATTTATTTGGTTAATTAACAAATTAATGTCATATTCTCATGAATGCCCTTATTTTTTTAGCATATTTTAGAGCATTTCTTTCTTTCTTTTTGTCTCTTGCACCACAATAATTGTGCTTTTTTATTTGGTTAATGACTAAATAATTGAATTTAATTCGAATAAATAATACATAACGTTAAACAAACTGAATCTAGTATAAAAAAAATGAATAGTTATGATTTTTTTGAAAACGGGAAAAGTCAAGTCCAAGCCGAATCAAATAAATAATAATCGAAAATTTCTTAAAATAAATATATTTATTTTATCATAAAAACCATAAATAAACCGATCTCAAATGGAAATAGAACTAAATCGAATTTAATATACTATAAAACTCGAATGGTTAAAATTTGTCTCAAACCCAAATAATCGAACTTGAATATAACATCACCCAAATAATCCACCCTTAATCCTAACCTCCAAAAGATTAGAGTGCTTTAAAATATATATATATATATATATATATATATGTAGAGTTTTCAATATGTGCAATAAAGCGGTCCGATTCTGATGTAAGATACGAAATATTTGGGGTAAATGAAGTGTAATTGTTAAATTGGATCTTACCACGTCCAAGATGGCAAGATATAGGAAGAGAATTGATGAGCAAGAGGGCTTGGAGATGGCGGAGAGCGAGGCAAGTGTAGATACGATGCTGTAGAAGCATGCCACGGATAACGCGGCAACGAAGTATCTGCGTTACAGATATTAAATTATAAATTATAAACTTTATCGTGTGAATAAAGAAAAACGCTGGTCCACATATTATTTGGAATATAATATGGAAAAAGTCAGTCTTCCGTTGTCCACTTCCTTAGAAAACTATTATTGCCCTTTATTTATTTCAATGATTTGAGCTTTTTTTTTTTAATAAAAATCAAATTTTCCTAACTTGATTTGACGTTTTATCAGATTCTTTCCAATTCCCAACTACTCCCACAAGTAGATAACAAGAGAAGGTAAAAAAATATGATTTCGTCCATGTTCATATGGAGGTAAAATAATATGAAAATGAATAATAAATCTAAATTTAAGATTGAAACGAACGATACCCACTATCAATAGAAATAAATAATTTCTGATATTTTGACATGTTAGACTTGTAGCCGCCGGCTTCAAATTCAATGGCTCCAAAGACACGTGTTCAAATTTTCGTGACATTTATGGTAAAATCGTGTTCAAATAATATATTCAAAATGCGTGCACGGCCAAAATTTTCAGTCTTTATGGAAGCTTCCTACCATCCAATAAATTATACATAAAAAAGGGAAAATGCTAGCAAAATCATGGCTTGTTTACGTGGACATGCAACCAACTTGCATACAAAAAAGCCACGTGTCTCTAACATTTATATATATGTCTTAAATGAAAAACGAACTATTTGATGCATGGAAGATAGAGTTCTCTATGTGGCTGTCAAGAAATCGATCGAATTTTCTTGATTTAAACACTCGAATTTCATACGTCGATCTTACCAAGCTATAACACGAATTCCATTTGGAATATATACATACATACATATATATATAGAGAGAGAGAAAGATGAAAGAGAGAGGACGTACATGAGGGCAGGAGAGTCGGTGAACTTGGCAGGGTTAGGGAAACGTAGACGTGTTCCAGGGACAGGAACAAGTTCGGTCTGTTTGCTGGTGACCATTACCACTACCGAAGTTAAGGTGGCCGCGAACAGTATAACCCTTAGCCCGACCTGACCCTTCAGACATGTCCTGGCCGTGGCCGCGGCCCCGGCCCGCGGCTGGTCGGCCTCTAGGGACGATTTTGTTTCGGTCGATGCCATAATATTTGATAATGGGTTGTAAAAGGTTATGCTCTTTTTTTTTTGTCAAGGGGAAGGTGGTTTACGATATGGGAGGATTGAGAAGTTAGGTATTTATATTACTTATGTTATGTGGGGGGCGAGGAAGAAATATATTATTATTAGCCTTGTTCGGATTATTGGCACGGTTATTAATTGTTATAATTTTTTTTTTAAATTTCGGTCGTGGGTCTATGTGGGTGGATGTTTCGGGCACGCCAATATATTTGAATGATTTTGGATGGTCAAATATTTGTAACTACTTTGTTTATGGTCTTATTCGATGACCGTGTGTTCCCATTACGTTATGGTATTATATATATATATATATAGTTTCCATCTCTATTTGAATATGTGATTCTTTATATAATTCGTAGATGTCCAACAAATATTATTAAGATAGATCGTGTAACAAACTTGGCTATATATATATATATATAAAAGAATCACGATCAAAATCGTTGGATACCAATAGCGTACAACTTTAAGATTATAACAACTTCATGAGCTTGTACTAATTATTTTGTACAAGATTTTTAAAAATAAAATAAAATTCATGTTTGACAATAATATCATGTGAACATCAATAAATTTATGTCTTTGAAATTGAATCAAAGAGACCAAGTGGATATCTTGGAAGCTGGAGATATGATCACGACAGCTAGGAGATAACGTCGATTAGTGTATATCAATACATTTACGTCTCTGTCGTATCTTTTTATAAAACATTTCGTTATACTTTTGCGGCATTGAGTTTTCGTTCAGACATTATCTTACATATCTTAACTAACTATATGACTATCCAAACAATTTTAAAAAATAATTAAAAAAAATAACAAAACTGTTCTCAATAGAAGTCAACCATGCAACGTTAGGACTAAAGGAGCCAAGAATTGTCCGTACCGACCGGAAGAACCGCGACCAAAACGTAAAGGCCGATGTTGTTTGTGTCCTAGTCCACGTCGTCGTGATCTTGTGCATAGCCATCTCCGTAGTTGTCTTCGTCAGGTTGCTCTTGTTCAGCGTCTCCACCGCCGAACACGGGAACTGGAACTGGGACTGTCTCGTCTTCGAAAGCCGATGCATCGGGAATCTCTACATCTTTCTCGACGATTCTCATGCTGTTCAGATTCTCGTCGCTGAAAAACGCGTGGAACGGCTTCGATACCTGCAAACAGACGAGTGTGACTTCTCTTCTCAGTTCCATACGTTTCAGAATAAGACGATCTGCAATCTTTTCTTACAATCAGTGTTTAGAAAACGTTAAACTTGTCGAAACTCATGAGTGTTTCCGCCATGGGAGAGCAGGCAAATAACCTCGGGTTGGATCATTTTCAGCATTTTTTGCTGAAGGGAATAAAAAATTTTGCTAGGGAAATAAGATTTGATTGAGATATTTTGGGTAGTTCCTGGATCGAATCTTTGAAGTCGAGGAAAGAGAGTGTGACCTTGAACAATTGATTTCTATGCTCAGCACTTTGAATGAGGTTTTTCCAGTGTTCATCATTCCTCAATGTTGCAGCTGAACCTACCACCTGAAACAGAGGGTAAGAGCTTAAATCACATTCATAAGAGAACAAAGGAGGAGGCAAAGGCAAGGGCCCGTGAAGTTTTAGTAGCATACCAATACAGAAGACTTAGCTCGTGTAATACCGACATTCATCCGCCTGAAATCAGAGACGAAACCTATCTCTCCTCTCTCATTAGCTCTCACACACGAAAATATCGCAACATCCTTCTCCCTTCCCTGTACGATAATCCCAAAGTATCAGACAAAGATTTAAAGATGTTTCAGCATGCAAGTTCATAGGATAAATCTGAAATATATATATATATATATATATATATATTTATAGCGGATAGAAATGGGGAAGAGAGTAGATTGTTACCTGGAAACCATCAACCGTGTTTATATCGACCACTTTTGCTGACTCAATGCCAAACATATCCTTGAACCGATCTTTGAAAGTTTTAACTTGGTAGCTATAGGGAGATATGATAGCTAGCTGAGAACTTGACTTAAGCTCCGGGTACATTGACACAAGTTTGTGGTAGATGAGGAGAACGAACTCAACCTCGTCAAAGTTTATCCAAGATCTGGTTCCTCCTGGTGGCTGAGACTCTTT